ATAGCTTGTCATTGCCGCAGCGCTCAGCCTCTCTTGTAGTCTTTTGGTGCCTTAGAGGTCAATCCCTAACCTTAATCAAGTGATTTGGAATTTTTATTTAATTAGAGAAAAAATGTTGTATGACAAAAAATGACGTTTTCTACCTGCCTATCGCAAATATTAGGCTAGCACTTATGTAGTATTGTAATAAGTACATTACAGTGGGAAAAGATACATTTCACTTATTAACTTATTCGTCAAACTATTTGCCTTCTTTAATAATATCCAAGGCACAATTAAGCATTGATTTAATGTCGTCTTCTTATTCAAAAGTTTTCTTATTTTCGCCGTAGTTTAGAAACATTTTACGGTTTTACCCTGGAAAGCTTTACAGAATTTATAGAGTTTGTTTTCTAATACAAAATATTGTACGGAATAAGTTTAAAGCAAGGAGTATGATACAACTGACGTGGTTCGCTCTACCATATGAATATACATGCTTTGCAGACGGTACTCCATTTGTATAAGAAATATTCAGAATAGGTTATTGTATACGCGGTAATTGTACATCAGACATATATATCATATGCCATATTCACTATTAGGACTTTTGCAGACTATAAGAGGGAAAACAGGGATAAGCCATTTATACTGGCAAACAAGGACAGAGGGACTTCGATCAGAAAAACTATTATGGATTATGGATAGACTAGAGAATAGAGATAAGTACTGCCAGGAACTATTTACTATTTATAAAACTGCATAGACCTACGATTAAAGTACAATATATTGGAAAATTATGACCAGTGGATGAATTACAAAAAAAGTACTGTAGACTGTAAGGGACTTTATGCACATAGTGAATATGACCAAGCCAAGAACTCACAGACATTAAGAAATACCCCCCTAATATTTGGGTCTCCAACAAAAATATGGGGGTATCCAATGAAAATCTGGGGTCTCCAATAAAAATCTGGGGTCTCCCATGAAAATCTGGGGTCTCAAATGAAAATCTGGGGTCTCCAATGAAAAACTGGGGTCTCCCATGAGAATATGGGGTCTCCAATGAAAATCTGGGGTCTCCAATGAAAATCTGGGGTTTCCAATGAAAATCTGGGGTCTCTAATGAAAATCTGTCTGTGTGTCCTCACTATCATTTCACTCTCATTTTTTCCAAATATCTCCGTCAATTTTGAGGGGGGAAATGGTAGACCACATTTTGGAAATCCCAAGACATAGTAGTTTCCGATATAAAATGTGATACTACCAAAATTATGTTTACGAAATAATCCCGCATGAAACAATTAGACCCTTTAATTAAAATTAAAAAACATTGGTTAGACAAATTAAAGGGAAATGATCAGACTTCCTAAAATAAACTTGTTCAAAATGTTTAAGAGGAAAAAAGGTTTGGTTTGAATAATATTTTACACCATTCTCATATAAAGTTTTCAAGAGAAGAAATCGAAAAGATGATTTTATCGCCATAATTTAAGCAACTAAAAATTAAGATATTTAGTTATTTTTGACGAAAATAACTTGTTGTCAAATTAAGAAAGTGACGATAATTCTCCTTTTCCCCGGCCTATCTTTACATTAAGCCCTAATTCCTGATCAAGTGATCAAACAAGATCAATTTTGGACATTTTTTGATTGATTTAACATTGATCCATGATGTTAAAGGGAAGATTACCAACAGTCATCATGGCTTTAGCAGGTAACTTTCAGCATTAAAGGGACTTTTAGCGTAATTTATAATGACCCGCCATGCAAAGATGGCAATGCCCGATTCACAATTCGTTATCCAATTGAAACCTTAATCTGATCAATAATGTGGAAGATATTGTCGTTTTCCAGGTTTAAAAGGATTTATTTCTGATAATTCCTGTGTGTTTTCTTTGTATTCTGTTGTAGAGAACTCACAACTGAAAACAACAAGTATTAATTGTCTTATAAACATTGAAATCTAATATATGCGTGATTGAACAAAGCTTATCAGAGCCAAGGGTGTAATGCAAGGAAAGTTAATTGCGGTCGTGTATACTCTACGTACACATTGAAACCAGTTCTCTTTGGGCGGAATTTGTAAACAAGAATAGATGCATCAGTGTTCGTTTAGTAGTATCCGAGAAGGTTAAAAGCATTAAATTTTGATAATTTTGATAATTCACATAATAGTTTCCTGTAACCAGAATATTTCATTGATTTTTATATAAAAGATGGATCCCATNAATTTTGGATTTGGAAGATTTTTCCTTGTATTACATCCTTGATCAGAGCACCGTTGTGAATCCGGCATTGCCATCTCGTACCATTTAAATTTTTTAAATCTATCCAAGCAAAAACAGGGAAAATGAATTAGAATTTGTTTAAATTTTTAAATTAAAAAAATAGCATATATACGACATTTTGCTTCATGTAATTTTTGGCCAGAAATTCTATGCCATTTTGTTATACGTCATTTGTACAGTAAGATTTGTCAATGTAAAAATTTCCCTATATAGCTTGTCATTGCCGCAGCGCTCAGCCTCTCTTGTAGTCTTTTGGTGCCTTAGAGGTCAATCCCTAACCTTAATCAAGTGATTTGGAATTTTTATTTAATTAGAGAAAAAATGTTGTATGACAAAAAATGACGTTTTCTACCTGTCTATAGCAAATTAGGCTAGCACTATGTAGTATTGTAATAACAATAAGTACATTACAGTGGGAAAAGATACATTTCACTTATTAACTTATTAGTCAAACTATTTGCCTTCTTTAATAATATCCAAGGCACAATTAAGCATTGATTTAATGTCGTCTTCTTATTCAAAAGTTTTCTTATTTTCGCCGTAGTTTAGAAACATTTTACGGTTTCACCCTGGAAAGCTTTACAGAATTTATAGAGTTTGTTTTCTAATACAAAATATTGTACGGAATAAGTTTAAAGCAAGGAGTATGATACAACTGACGTGGTTCGCTCTACCATATGAATATACATGCTTTTTAGACGGGTTCCATTTTTGTGTAAGAAATATTCAAAATAGGTAATTGTACATCAGACATATATATCATATACGATATTCACAACTTTTTTGTGCAATTATTCATAGCTAGACCCCTTTAACCCTTTTTTGTGCAATGCTTCACGGCTAGACCCCTTTAAACCTTTTTTTGCAATGATAGCTAGACCCCTTTAAACCTTTTTGTCAATGATTCACAGCTAGACCCCTTTAACCCTTTTTTGTGCAATGATTCGCAGCTAGACCCCTTTAAACCTTTTGTCAATGATTCACAGCTAGACCCCTTTAAACTTTTTTTGTTCATTTATTCACAGCGAAAACTTTAAACTTTTTTTGTGCAAATTTGATAGATATTATTTTCTATCTAAAAATTAATTATTTAAAAAAGGTAAACTGGTATTTATGCAGCAGAGACATGGATGCTAGAAACGGCCTCTTCTCAAAACAGGAACACGACGATATTTTCGTTAATCTCATTTAGATAAAGGTTAAAATGCCGCTGTTTTAAATCCGGTAAAAAGGGCCCCTTAAAATAACGTGAACAGTCCCTTTAATTGTTTAAATAAAATAATAAAACAGAGGTTTATTTTTTTCACTGAAAACTGTTTAATAACTTATTTTCAATGTGAAACGTTGCACAATTAACATGCATTGCTTTGAGAGTTGAGCCAAATAAAAAAAATTAAAAATTAAAACGAATTCATATATTATTACCGAATGTTGCATTGCAGGATTGTTGGTTCTGACCCAGCTAGTCTATATCTCCAACAAAGAGGATCCAGTACAGATCAATTCTTTAACAGTCTTTAACAATTTCAACATTAAACAAGGAATCTAGTCTTAGCTAATCTAATTGAATTTCAGGAATTCTAAAAACTGAACTTTTCCAAAATTACTTTTTTCCAAAATTACAATTTTATCTTCATAATAAGCTCTTCGCTCAGACATATATTTGTATTTATTTATGTAAGCTAAACCTGACCGAATGGGCTGATTTTTTTTTTTGGGGGGGGGGACCCATTGGTACGCTCGGGGTAACATAAGCTAAAACATTATTTTTTTTTGATTTTATTTTTTTTTGATCAGATCAGGTTTCAAGTACCCCAGCTTTTACAAGTTTGCAACATTAACAACTAAAAATTATTCAATTTTAATATGAATTTTGGAAAGAAAAAGAGAAAACTTTATCCGCAAATTAAAGAATTTTCTAAACTAAAATACAAAGAATGTAAATGTGTTATCATCGTACAACCTTTTTGTAAAAATAATATAAACAATTTTGTATCTTTAAAATAATCTCGATACGGAGATAATAACTATCTAGATTTAAAAAAAAAAATATTCAAGACTTGAAAAAAATCTAGAAAAGTTGAAAGCAGAAGAATCTGAATCAGAACCAGCTGAAATCAAACATATTCTTTATTTTAACAAGGTACTACTTTTTCTCTGTATTAATGGGACTGTAGTCGTGACTCTCGATTTTCAAGCTCTAGAAAAACGACATTATTTTAATTCACATACAGTGGTAGGCGATTATAACAATACAAAGAAGACGGTTTTTAAATTTAAGTTTTGATTGTTACAAGCTTTTCTTGAATCATAAGTTTATAAGTGATCAAAGAGAAGCTTTTTTAATTGATAGCGTCTCTTGACTTCTATGTCTATGTGTATCCATGGTGATTAACAGCTTGATTTAAATCAAAATTGAAATCGAAAGTCGTCTTCATTGCACTAATGTAATCGCCTACCACTGTATTAAATTAGATCAAAATTGAAGTTATCGTTCTGAATTGTTTAGGTAGAAGTTTGATCACATGAAATTGCCATATTTTTTGGAAAAAGTGTTTAATTCCGACATTTATTCTACGTTTTTTCTAAAGTAGAAATGTGTAGATCACTTTATAGAGAAATCACATTTACAAATTCAACTTTTCCAGGGTAACGTTGTGGATTAAACATGCCATTCTATAAATAGAGTCATTTGAAATATCGTTCACATTCCCTTCAGTTTTCCATCATATTTTGACTTTAATTATTGTTTATTATCATAAACTGGTTGTTTTTGCAGTATTTCCATCTTGTTGACTGGAATTTTGGATTTGGAAGAGAACCTTTTATTACTAACCAGTGTGCCAACAGTAACTGTTATATTACAAACAATAGGTAACTAACTAACTAACTTGTAAAAGGATAACAAGAAAGTTCTGAATTAGGAAGACGACTTTTAGAATCAAGTTAAAGGTTTAAAAAGTCCAATAAGCATGAGCAACATCAATTTTTCAGATGAAACAGACTTATTTTCAAAGATTTATAAGTCTCTAGAACAACTATATTGATTTTTAACAACATTAAATACAATAGTAAGTATGTTTATTACATGACTTTACACCATCAGGTTGCGAAGATTAAGCTAATTTTTAGGAGTTTTATATTTTCAGGAGTTTTATATTTTTAGGAGCTATCTTCCATCTTTATCCGATTTTGAAGCACTTCTTTTTCATTCTAGAGATATGGAATCAAAATATGTTCAGGTCACTAAATTTTATCAATCTTTAACATCGAAGAAAAAGTAAAAATGAAAAATTTCTTTTTTTGCATTTCCAGAATCTTAAAATTTTTCTCCATTTTGCAAAACCAAATATTGACCATTTTTTTATAAATTCTCTGATTATCGTAATTTTTTTATTTTATGCTAAAAAAAAACTTTTAAATCAGAACTCTTTAGGTTCCCAACCCTGCCAGGAGAAAAACAAATCAAAAGTATATTTTTTACTCATTGGAATCTCCTCTAAATGATGGACTGGACCTTAATAACCATAGGTAAACTTTACAGATTTAAAACAAACTATAAAACATGGAAAAGAAAATCAATATTTTTATGAAAATTGAATTTACATTAAAGAAAAACATAGTTTTATTCAGATTAGTTAAAGACATATCTTTTATTGCATCTTAGGGGTGAGTCACCATAGTTTCATATTTCAATTTACTGTTATAGCGCCGTTATAACATTTTTATTTCAGGCTAAAGTCCTTTTTCAACTGGACAATGAGTTACAGAATAGACTCCGATATATATCTTCCATATGGTTATGTTTCTGAAAAAGAATCCGGGTCTGTTTTAGCGCCATATCCTCCAAAATGGCCGAATTCATCTGTTGTGAGGTCCATGCCCGTTCTCCCGCCAAAATGGCGTCAACACCAAGATAAACGTAAGCTAGTCAGCTGGGTTGTGTCAAATTGCAAGACACATTCAAAAAGAGAGGAATATGTTGAGGTAAAAAAACTACATAAAAAACATGTTTCATTTTTTTCTTACTACCTGGGGAACCCAGCGTGCATTGCCCAGATTACTCATAGTTATCCCTGCCGTTTACCCGCAATTGGTCGTAAATTACCCGTTCAACTCGAATCTCAAACTCAAGCTAAGAATATTCCCGTGGCTCTCCCGAGTTTCCCAATCAAAATTTGAGGCAACTAGGTCCCGGGGCTCCTGAGTTATGATCGGACAAACAAACAGACAAACAGAGATTACAATCACGTCTTTCATTGTGCTTTTTATATTTTTCATTTATCGTGCGCAGTGCGCACATTGTTAAAATAAGAAATAAGGATTTCGCAGATTTTTCTGCTTTCTTTACAAACATTGAGTTATAACCTTTCTTTTGTTTAAACCTCTAATTATTGTCTAGGAGCTGAGAAGGTTTATCCCTGTAGACCAGTTTGGAAAGTGCAATGATAACCCCTGTGATGAATCAACGTGCTTGAAAGATATGGAGAAAAATTACAAATTTTATCTTTCCTTCGAAAATTCATTTTGCAAGAATTATGTAACGGAAAAGTTCTGGAATGCTCTAGGAAAATATGAGTTTGATTTTTAGATTAAAATGTTTTTAAATATTTAGTAAAAGAGGTCTATAGAGGTCTCCTATAGAGGTCTATAGAGGTCTCCTATAGCCAACTTTGGCGTAAAGTTAAGAGAAGTGGAGCATTTTAGTTTTGCCCCAGAATAGCTATAGTAAATAAGTTCTTCTTGTGATCAATTTAATTTTTTATCCCTTTTTATGAAAAAATTGCCCTTAAACACTAGTGATTTAGATTTTTTTAAATGTTGCCGGGTATGAAAAATATCAAAAAAAAATTAAGCTGCTAAAATTTGGTCAGTGATCGACCAAAAAATTTTTTTTTTTAAATTTCAGAAATGGGCTTACTCTTAAGTCATTGTTTTAATAAGTAAACCCAATTTCAACCAAACATTGAAACTTACCTTGCATTTTCACCTGTTTCTTGTGTTTAGTTCAATTGTCCAAAAAATATAATTTTAAACGTTAGTATATTACAAATACAAATAAAAGAGTCAATGTGGGGGGGTGGGGGGCTGCACAGTGGTTTATTTAAAAATCGTACATTTAACTCGTGTTCAGTTTTATGTTTTCGAATTTTAAAACTCATTTTTTGTTAACAGAGCTTAACATGATCCCGATTGTGCTAGGTAAATCAAATTTTTCATTTTCATAAGAGCAAAAAATGTTTTGAAGAAAAGTAAATTAAAAATGTGTATCCTCATTTATTAAATGATAATTAAGTACATTTTACTCGAATACTAAATATGTACATATAAAAATATGTCCCTATAAACATGGGAAAACTCGAAATTATAAAATCATTTACAAAGACGATCTCAAAAATCGTCACTGAATTCCTATGTTTATTGGGACATCCAGTACCTTTCAATGCACTTTAATGCGTTCTTAATTCAGTGCTTGACAATAATTTGAAAAAAGAAAAATTTTGTGATTTAAGTACAGAGGATGGGACTATAATAACGACATCAAACTTTTTTAAATATCAATGCTTGAAACTTTATTTTTGTTCTTTGTTCTTTGTTTGCCTCAGACTAATGCCATCTATATATATATATATATAAAGTAGTAATCTCTGTTTCTTTGATTGGATTTCATATATAAAAATTATTCAGGAAGTCTTTGGTCGATTTGCCTCAAATTTTGATTGGGGGACTCAGCTGAACCGGCCACGAAAATGTTCTCACTTTATTTTAAAATTATAAATTGAGTGGGTTGACTTTTTTGGGAAAAGAATATTTTCCAGGGGAAGCTGGGTTCCCACGCTAATAAATTAATAATCTGTTTGTTTGTATGTTGATCGTATAACTATTGAACCTCTTAACCGATTTGCCTCAAAGTTTATTTTGATCGGGGAACTCGATGGAACCACGGTAAAATTATTAGCTTGGTTTAAATGGGTTGATTTTTACAGGAAACATAGTTTCCGGGTAGAGCTGGGCTGCTAAATAAAATTTCTTTATTAGACAATAAAAATGTTATTTTTAGGTTCAGGAGATTATGAAGTAATAGCACCTCCCCACTCCTATATAAATGTTAAGGTATGCATTATTACGCTTATTTTTAGAAGAAAATGTGTATTTCGTATAATAATATTTAGGGTTTTCTAGAGCAAATGCTTTTTATTCAACTATAAGAAAATTTTTCAAAAATTTGCCTTCATTTTTTGCATGTTAATAATAAAAAAAAACACTTTACAATCATCCCCGACCTAAACTATAATCTTTGGCACTAAAAAAGTCCTGTAGAAAAAAAGACCATAAGATAAAATAAAGTTCTATCATTTTGTGACTTTTTTCTAGGACGTATTTTTCAAGTAATTTCAGGATAAAGTCCCAGAAATCTAAAACACAGAATTTTATTTCAAGCTTCATTTTTTTCTCGGGACTTCAGAAAATTAGCACTTTTTCCAAATTTTTACTATAATTCACAATCTGAATAACTGAAGGATACACTTGAGATCATGTTGAAAAGATATAAGTTTTACAAATTTGAATTCTAGTCGATTTATCAGATCCTTTGATCTTGATCTGATAACTCGACTTGATCTTGATTTTGATCTGATTGTTAGGATTTCGATTCGGCGGAACACCTGGCAGAATATCTTCTAATGCTTGATAAAAATGAAACGGTAGGGGCGCTAATCTATAAATTATATCAACATAACATTTTCAGCTTTTAAGGTAAAAGTTAATATGCCGGGCAAAGCTTGGTTCCCAAGCTAGAATGCATATAAAGCTTAATTCTGTAAAGATTGAATAAAACATACAGGGTGCCCCATAGACATCGGAAATAAGAGAAGACTTAAAAATCATCTTTAATTTTGGAATTCCCAAAAACTAATAGTTTTAATTATTAACTGTTCTACCAGTGTTCCTACTAAAATTGTGTTCACGTAAAAATACTGCATTAAACAAAGACGATATAAAAGTCGTCACTATATTCCCATGTTTATATGGAACACCCTGTACTTAAAAGTTAAAACTGGAAAAAAACATGAAATACGATTAACTTGATTTTATTTTTACGAAAAAAAATATAGCATGTAAACTTGTAAAGTCATATTTGAAAATAAAAACTTTTAAGCTATATTTTGACTGTTATGATTCTGGGATTAGTTAGCAGTGATCAGTGATAAAATCTCCATTTCGGATTTCCATCCTTTACATCAATCGTATTTCCTTTTGTACTTTTACGAACCACATATGTACACTAACAGATCTTTGCTAGATAACATATGACTGAGATATCTTTGTTTTTTTTCTCATTAAAATTTGTTTAATTTTAATTGTGTCTTCTCTTTATAAAGATGACTTGCGGATTTATGCTGCATAAACAGTGTAATAGTTTTATGATATAATATATCTATATATTTTTAGGAGTATTTAAAGTATTTCTGGTGGAAAGAAAACTATAAGATTATTACAGATATCAAAGTGATAACTGCGAAGGTTAGGAAAACCTTTACAAATTTATTAGACAACAATTCAGTGGCCGAATTTAAAGAATTTGAGCCGCGGCCTACATTTGAGGCGCGGATCAAATATGGTTCGTTCCACTTAAAATATTATTCGATGTTTAAAGATTTAAGCCGGCGCTCAATTGAAACCGGTTTTTTGTCGGATATGAGACGCGGCTCAAATTTGTTAACTTCGGACTCAGGTTTAAAAATGATAGAACAAAAAAGCAATTTGGCAAAGCCATAAACTTTGATATTTGTTCCGAGGTCGGGATTAATGAATAATGAGAAGTAGTTGACGTATGGATACTTAATTCTCTCGAGTTGAACTATCCATACTTATAGTTCAAATACTTTTATATAAAATCCGCCCTCCTAGGATATGATTCACAGTTAAATTTAGATGAATGGAAATAATTAATTAAAAGATACAAGGATTATAAAAATAGCTAATGAGACATTTTTTTATATTTTAGAGTATGTGCAATTTGTGCGAAAAACTTCACGAACAAGAGAATACGGAAGTAGTAAAAACTAAGGAGGAATTAGAATTTCTAGCTGGTTGGTGGCAAAACAATAAATGTATTGTAGATAAAACTTTTAAAGAATTGTTTAGAAAGGTATTAAAAGATTAAAATATAATGCCAGAATCAGATATACAACTTTTTTAAGACTGATTTTGAACAGAAAATTAGTATTTATCAAGAATCTTCGAGATGCAGAGAAAAAGTCCAGATACTTTATGACATGCCAAAATAAAATTATTAAAATCCTGATTTATGCAATGTTTTTGCTTGTCTAGCTCTGGACACATTGTGATTATTTCTAGATGTATCTAGATGTATCTAATTGTATCAAATGAAAAAAGGTAAACTTAAAAAAATTAAATTGAAAAATTATTCCTGAAATATCCAAAGTTTTTTAAACAAAATTTGAGAACCAATTAAACTTTTTCTGAAACTATTTTGTACTTTATCATTTATACTCTCTTCATAGTGAATTATATTATTGACTTCTCTATAAAGTTTAATTATCAGGTTTATATTTAGATTGGTTCCTGGATTGTCTCAAACTTTTTTATGATATTTCTAGAATATTTTTTATTTAAATAAAAATGAAAATAAAATTAATTTTAGATTTTTATTTCTACTTTGTTAGAAAACTTATTTTAACTAAAGATAATTAATTGTATCAAATCAAGTACACAAACATTTCATTAAAATTACCAATAACACTATTATTTTGGAAGGACGTGTCATAAAGTTTTTTGGACGTAAATTTTCTCGGTAAAAAAGGTAATGTTACATCGTCTATACGCAATATCTCCCCTACTGAACTTCCGACCTACTATTTTTCCGACCTACTGCAATATCGGACCTACGTCAGCTGTTTATTTTTGTATTATTTGAGGGTTAGGTTAGGTTAAGACAATTTCTGGGCCGAGCGCCGCGGCTAGGACAGGCTTGGAGGCCGGGCGCTGCAGCGGCCACATGTCCATATCGCAGCTGTAAAACCACGTGCTAGTAGGTCGGATGTGTTGTATAGCGGATTTGGCGTAAGTCAGAAGTGGAGTATAGCGGATATGTGTAGGTCGAAAAATACACCACCAATTTTCTCTAGATCTCCAAGGTTCTCGCCTTTTGTTCAAAAACTTAATAACACTGAGAACCAGAATAATTGTGTTATGAATAGTTAATTATTATACAGCTAATTTAATTTTATAGCACTGCTATTGATTAATGAAATAATAACATGTGAGCATAATTGATAAAGTGCACAGTAAAAGTTTCATCATATAATACATTCAGTTGTAAATTCAACAAAACCTAATTATAAATGTCTTATTTTCAGATTGATAAATAAATAAAGCAGCTCCACTCCACTCAGCTCTGAGATAAATTTCTTACGTGATTCATTAGTTATTAAAACAAAATAAAGTTAAAAAAATTGTATGATTTCAATATTTCTTTATTTATGTTAAGATCGTATCTTTAATTTCTTAGAGTGAATTAGTATTGCATCTTGAAATATCACAAAGTTGGTTATAATGAGTGATTTAATGGATTTAATGAGCCATGGTAATTGAATAATCATTAGACTTTGTGATATTTTAAGATGCAATACTCAGTCAAATTTGTCAAAAATTTTATTGTAAAACAGTTTAAGAATTCAACACACGTAAAATATTAATTTGAAGTGTAGAATTGAAAAAATGGTTTGAATTGTGCTTTTTGCGTGACGCGGCTGGATTTTTTTTAAATCACACTTCAAAGGCCCTAAATATGCCATTTAAAAAGTAGTTTTGCCCGGAAGAGTCAAATGTGGTAGTACGGAAGGGGAAATAGTGGTGGTTCATGGCTGCCGGAAGAGAAAAAAGCTAATATGTGGTAATATTGTTTGATAGTTTTAGACAATCGTAAAGAATGGGGAAACGTCCAACTAATGCCACCAAGGGTGGTAAGTTTATGAATCCAACAGATCAGGCCAGGTTAGTTTTCTAGCAATGTTTTAACTGGTATATTGAAAGTTAATGAGGTGAAGCACCAAAGATTTAATGAAGATAATTATAGTTTTGAAATCTGAGCGATTTGAAAACCATGAGTTTTATAGTTTCAACAATTAATTGCTCAAAAGAACTTGTGGAATTTTCTACTTTCATAGCTCAATATTTGAAGTTTTTTAATGTCATTTAAATAATTTCTCTACCTTTACTTTACTAAATGTTTGATGAAGAGAATTTTCGCATTATTTTTTTTCGCATTTTCTATTTCGCAAAACTTTCGCATTTTTTCGCATAACAGATTGAAGCAAAATTTCGCGAAAAAAGCCAAAATTTTCTCATTTTTTGCGAGCGAACGAAATTTTCGCTAATCGATTTTTCTTTTCGCTGGAATCCCTAGAGTTGACCCCCTTCAGTTCTTCAGATTTGTTTCTAATAAATAAATATACAATGAATACTTTTAGAATTAAAAGATACAAATATTAAATATAATATTTTCAACTTTTTTGACAAACATCGATTTCCAAATTATGATAGAATTTAATAATATTTGTTTACTGACATTAAAAACTCTTGTTTTATAGGAAGGAAGCAAGAAGACGAGAGTTAAAGAAGAATAAGAAACAGAGAATTCTTGTTAGAAATGCGGTTCTTAAAGGGAAAAAACCACAAGAAGTCATCGAAGAACTCGAAAAGGAAAACTTTCGTTTTCACTCCACATTTTTAAAAGAAAATTGTTGCATCAAAACTTAGTATTTTTTTTTCAAATTGCATAATTATAGATTTTTTCAGAACCCAAATTGAAAGAATTTTTTATATATGTTGCGTGTAGCCGGCCAAACGGCTGGACCGATTGGGCTGAAATTTTTGTGGACACTCATGGGTTTATAGGCTTTAAAAAAATTCAAATTTTTTTCAAATTTCTTCTGATTTTTTCACGGGCAACGCCGGGCCCTTCAGCTAGTTATTATAGTTATTTGATTTTTTTTCAATTTTTATTTTTTATTTTTATCTTCTTCTTAAAATTTTCCTTTCAACTTGTAGTGTTTGAGTTTAACAAAAATTATCCATTGAGTATGAGTGTAACCTAGGATCACCATTTTAAATAATTTACGATTAATGTTTTCTCTAGTCAAGTTATTTTTTGGATTTTTTGTTGAGCCAGATGTTAGGCATCTAAAAATATTTAAAAAAATTATCATATTAACAATTAAGTGAATTGGAATAGATTAATTATTTTATTATGATAAAGGTGATGTCTGAGAAGCGTAGGAAGCTGATGGAGACCTGGGACAGGGTCTACAAGATGTACGAGAAGGATGCTCCAGATCAGTTCGAGGAGGTCAACAAGCAATGGACAGCTTACCAGGTTAGTTACTGATCAGTGAAGAGTTTACAAGATTAGTTACTGAACAGTTAACAGTTTAGTTACTGAACAGTAAACACTTTACTAGGTTAGTTACTGAGTAGTCCGACAGTTTACCAGGTTAGTTACTGAACAGTGAACAGTTTACTAGGTCAGTAACTTAACAGTGAACAGTTTACCAGGTTAGTTACTGATCAGTGGACAGTTTACAAGTTTAGTTATTGAACAGTGGACAGTTTACCAGGTTAGTTACTGAACAGTGAACAGTTTACCAGGTTAGGTACTGAAAAGTGAACAATTTACCAGGTTTGTTACTCAAAACTCCGTAACTAAGTTTAATGTAGAGTAAAGTAGAATAATGTAAAAATAAATCTAAAAAAGATGAGTTAATTGATCATTTGATTGATAGTGTAAGGTTAATTGTTTAATTAATTGACTGTAAGGTTAGTTGATCAATTGATTGACTGTAAGGTTAACATTTTAAGTAGTTTTTTGATTTTTTAAGATTAATTGATCAATTGATTGATGTTGTAAGGTTAATTGATCAATTGATTGATGGTGTAAGGTTAATTGATCAGTTGATTGACTTTAGGTTAATTGATTTTGTGATTGTTGTTTCAAGGTTTATTTCTTAATTAATTGAAAATGTAAGGCTAATTGATTGATTGATTATTAGTGTATGCATAGATGATTGGTTTATTATTATTATTATTATAGGTTAGAAAGATGGATGTTATAAGATACTATGAGTCTGTGATGGCGGCCAAGGATGTTGAGATTGAAGGAATTCCACTGCCTAATATGAGTTCAGGTAAAGTTAACGACTAGTAGAAAGCGGTTACTCGGAATTGAAGTCGTCTTTACACATAAATTGGTTTTCATATAGGAAGTGACGTATTCGTTTCACAACGGTACCCTTAACAACTTTGTCTGATCAAAAATTGTGTAAGAAATTCATTGATTATTTTTAATTTTTCTTTAGCTCGTTAAGGGATTTGCGGATTTCTGCATCAAGAACAGTAGGAAATTTTTATAAATAAGCACTTCTAAGCTAAAATAAACGATAATTTTCATATTGTTGATCAGATAAAGGGGTTAAGGGTACAATTGTGAATCTGACATGCCCCTCAAAATAGACAGTTTAATTAAAAAACAGTCGATTCTTTTACCTAAACCAGGAAATCTATCAAAACGGCAGAATAGTTTGGTCAGATCAGACCTGATCCAAATATTCTCTTCTGGTGGATTCTTGATATAAACCTCAAATGGGGTCTTGGCAGGGATGTATATTTGTTTGAAAAATCATCCCCCCTCGTTTGAAACTAAGTTTTCCGATCTCCCCAGAATTTTTTGGATGGTTTTGTTCGCCTAATTTGGAAAAATTCATGATTTCGAGGGGAAAATAAATATCTTGATGAAAAAGAATGAAAAATAACTTTTGTGTTTAATTTTTCATTTTCAAAATTTATTTTTCTTAACAAATATACACCCCTGGTCGGGTTTAAGGCTTTCCAAACTTTTTTTTATAAATTCTGTTTTTAGGAGGACTAGGTGACTGGGAGGATGAAACAAATATACCTTTACCCCCGACTGCGCAGTATATACCGAAATCTGCACTCAAGAAGCCACTGACTGCACAGTAAGTTCATATAAATTTTATTTTAAAAACATTCTCCACAAAAAAAATTTGTCCACCATTTTAGAAAAACTTTAAACTTAAAAACACAAGAAGTGCACCTGTTTAGTTATGTGAAAACATATATTCGACAATCATTTCAAAGAAACTAATTTATTTTAAAGTTTGTCAGAAAATTCGGCTACCGTAGTATTAGATCTGGGTCGTCAGAGCGCTTGGTTTTACTCCCGTTCCACTAGCGTCCTAATTCCTGTCTTGGGGACGGGGTTCCATGTCGTGTTCCGCTAAAGAGTTTTTTATTTATAGATATTATAGTGGGGCCCCTGGATATAGGGGGGTCAGGGGGGGCTCTCTCAAAGTTTATTTATACTATTGGTATGTTTCTGTTCCGGTCGGGCAATGGGCATTATGCCTCCTTCCGGGGACACCGGCGGCATAATAAATCGATCCTTTAATTATATTAATTAATACAAATGTTATGTCAATACAATGAAGAAGACTGTCTATTTTTATTTTTATGTTTACCAAGTTTTCAAACCGCAGAAACTGTGCAACAAAGAGAAGTTACCAAATAGCAGCTTCTCTTCGTTCACTTGTAAATTTAGTATTTTGAATTGTTAAGCAGTATCAATATTATTATTATTTATAAAAAGTCGCCTTCATTGTATTTATATAATCGCTGACCACCCTAGGGATAGTATGAAGACCAGAATGTGTCCCGGAGTCCCCCCTGGACCCCCTCCATCTATACAAGAATATGAGGATCTGGAGAAACCAGATTTAGATTCAAGGAAACGGAAGATTAGGTAAGCAAATAGCAAATATTCGAATTTTTAAACAATGCATCAATACCCATTGTTTTTCGTAGATTCGACGGGGGGAGGGGAGGGTTTAAAATGCCAACTTCTCTTTTTGAAGTTTTATATCCCAAAAAGTTATTGATTGATTGATTGATTGATTGATTAGGTTTGGTGGAGAGGAAGACGACGAAGAAGAGGGAATGGAAAACTCTGAA